GGACTTACAACGCGGGTTTCGATACCCGTGGAGGGCAGAGCACACATAGTCCATTGTGTAGCTTTGTGCTTAACTTCAAACAAACAAGTAATGGAAGGTAATTTTGATGCGAGTATTTCTAATCAAAATGGTAGTGCAATTTTCCCATTCATGTGCCATGGTGCTTACACAACTGAGCAATAAACATATGACTAACAAGATAACTCAGGTCACTGGACTTTTGAACAGAGAACATGGTAAAACATATAGTTAGATACTTTTACCAAGTTCATATTGAAAACAGTTCCTAACATATTTCAGTTTTAATATTTTATGTACCTTCATATTGTGAAATATGGTTGCATTGGTAACCATAATATTTTTTTAAAACCCTCCATGCAGCAAAAATACAAATAAGCAATCAACTGTTAAATAGTTTATTGTATTTCCAATGATGATGACAATATAAAATAAAAGTTAACATTCTACAATGTAAGAATTGTGTGCCATTCTGCACATTCCAAATTTATTTCTCCAACTAAATTTAACGCATTCAAAACTAATTTAAAACTATCACTTTGACTAATTAGTTAATATCAAGCACACTGCATGTAAACATTTAAGGCCTAACTGACTGAAATATACATATAGAAAATATCTCTAAAACAAAAATGCCTTAATTTCTTTCTTTCATGGAAATCATTAAAGCAGATGTACTGTATCTGCAGACCTTTGACTAAAAGCAAAACCTCAACAAAACTTGTCTTCTTGAAGAAAATGAAGATTTCTTGGTGTCCAGAGCAAAGCAGATAAAGTTGAACAATATTTTCAAAAAATATTCATTTGAAAATAATTTTCTCAACCTGCTTTTTCTACACGCTGTTCATGCTACAGCTTAATAAGAGGTCATATTTTTTGTACTTTGTCCCCTACTACAAGAGGATTGTTTTTTTGAATTTCCTGTGCACCCTGTTGTTTATAATCAAACGAACAGTTATGTTCATTTACATATCTATGTATGCTACAGAACAGACCACCACATCGACATTCGAACCCTAAAGAAAAGATACAAGGTTAAGTAATAAGACTTTATGGGTAAACACAGTAAATTTAAACATTTATATTATAAACCAAACTCTTGTAAACAATTGGATATCTAAAAAAAACATAGTTTTAATATTGGCTGTGCAAATTTCATAATTACCATTGGAGTTCTCTTTCCCAACATTTTGTTAATTCATTACCAAATTTTTTCAGAGATTGTGAAGGTTTCTGAAAAATACACGAAGGTTTTTTTTTATGTTGATTGTAGTTTATAATTGTATTAAAAAATTATTTTACAAAAATTGTGATAATTAAATACAAAAAAAAAAGGTTTGAAGGAAAATGAAGACTTCAAGGAGACCACCAATCACATCCAATATTACTTTCATTCATTAAAGAACATTTATACACAGCTGAATGATACTTTCCGACTTCCAATAGTTACATTTTATTTGCCTCTTTCTAATCTGTCAAGGAAACAGACATGCCATGGTAAATCAAAGACGAGGTGGCCCCATAGTCAAAAAGTCAACAAGAGTGAGATCTGGATATGATGCTGATTACCCAATCTCTTAAAGCACATTTAAACAACATCCTGACAGTCCTTGCAATGTGACATAGAGACCCATTTCGTATGAAGAAGATTTCATTAGAAACTCATCTTTTCTGAATTGATAACAGGTTCCAAGTTACACCAATAACTTGATCTTTATGGCTTTCCATTCACCACTTTCACATCAATATTACTACCATGGCTACCGTAATGCTTTAATCCTATGATGATCGACTTCTTACATTGTAAGTAGGTAACATTGCTCTCATCATATTGTGTTCCAAAAATAAACTAGTGAATGAAATTGTTTAAAATTGGTCAAGAACTTTCCTAAAAAGTATGTAATTTAAAAATAAAAAAAAGATTTTTTCTACTATTTCAAATAAAAATTAGTTATTTATTATCTTATATTTTTCCAATTTTATTTGCATAATTAAGAACCTTCTAAAAGAATATTAAAAGTTTTTTTTAAGGTAAATGTTTTATATTTTATTTTCCATTTTCTCTATCATATCATTAACTATTTGTTATCAACATCGGTGCAATGAAATGTTTAAAATCAAGAAATGGAAAGATATACATATCTTAACTCTTCATTGAATAATCTTAGAATATCTTTTTTTTTGGGTCATGTGCGTAATTTCATATTTTTACCTTTTCACTTATAGTTTATTTTTAATATTTTATTTTCCTTTATAGTTGATTATTTGTTTGACACACATCAATGGGTGATATAAAGTTATGTTTATCAGAGATTGTTTTAGCCTTTGGCCAATTGTTTTGCACTCGCTATTTATAAAATGGTGAACGAGCTAAAATATCGAATAAATTAAGAACGTTATTAGTACTTTCAAATATGAATTATAAAACACAAAGAATACATAATTAACTAAACTATAAAAGTAAAACCAAAATGCAATTAACCTGTCTATCAAGTTAATATGTACAAGGTGAGAAAAAAAGAGCCAACTACTAGGAACCCCACTCTCAACAATGGACTAAGCTTTATTTTGCCTCGTTTGTAAAAGGACATATATACGTCTACATTTACTGTTAATTTAGTGACATATCTATAGGAAATCTCTTCTTTCTATTGGTTATAAGCATTCCATTCAACTTAAAACTGTTGCTTAGCAACACAGCTTCTACTTTGCAAATGGACATGGGTTATCTGGAATTAAGGAAATTTTAGAAGGGTTTTCTCCTCGGGGATAATTTCTAGGAACATCTGCAGGGAATTGTCTACATTAGACCTACAGTTTCTTCTGTACCAGCTCTTAAATTTGAGATTCGTAACTGCGAGCCTCTAACGCGATATCAAAACTCAAGTTTTAAATAATATTTTAGAGGCTTCTTTTGAAATAAAGGAATAAAAACTTAGATAAAATAAAACTTTGAATTTTAACAAACTTGATAATAGTAATTTCATTAAAATACAATGATAGTAAAGTGGTTTAATGAAATTTTGAATGTAACGCAATAAAATGCGCAGAAAGGAATTTAAAAATGGGGCTGATCAGTATAGGGTTAAGGGAACAATTCTATGTTTAGAGATTAACTATTCAGGAATAATTTTTCCTAGCAAAATAAATCCTGACACATTTGATGCTGATTTTATAGTCATCAGTATGCAAATTGCACTATAGCACCTCCTGGTGAGAATTACTTCTGACAGTGGAATCACCTTTCCTATCATCTTATTACCTCATCTATCAAATATTAGATATTTGAGGTTTCACAGAAAAATTGAATGGACAATTTTTTTTTGTCACAAATCTTAAAAGTTTAAATAGATGACTAAAGCTGTATTATGTTCTAGCACATTCATGTACAAGCTACAATCTTTTACTTATTTAGTTACCTGTAAGCCCAACCCTTTTGCGACACATTTGACATCTGTTTTTCTTCTTCTTATCTTTTGGGGTTGATTCCTTTGTTTGGGCTGTGCCCGAGACAAAACTATCACTGGAAACAGAAGTTCCTTCAGATTCTGTGCCATGGATACCAGAAGACTGAGGCTAAATTCAAGTAATCAAATAGGCTATATGGAACTATATAAACACTTTAATGTACTCCAAATGATTTAAAAGTAAAAGAAACATCAACTGAAGTAAGTTTTACACTTACTCACATGTACATGACAACACACCGATTTTCTTAAAATCCAAATTTACAGCAACATCATTAAATATCTAATTTCCTATACCGTAAGAGAACAAGTAGTAGTTTGTTTATAAATGAAAAAGCCTCAACACTGACAATCACTTATAAACAATCAGACAAAAAGGTGTTAACAAGAACTTTACTTAGTTGCTGTAATTGTGCTAATATTCTGTTAATGTAGTTTTTGTGCAGTCTTCTCTACAGAATTTACACCCATCATTCCATTTCATTATTAATTTGTTTTACTGAGAAACCTTTAACCTTGAAAACTTTACTTAATGACACCACAAAAAATTCACTCTGTCACTAGTAAAATGATTATTAAATTGGATATATTAATGTGAGCTCATAATGTAATAAATAATTTCATGCCAAAATAACAGTTCTCTCAAAAAAATGAAAGATTTTTTAAGTACTTTTACAAAATTGATAATTGTTCTTCTTAGTCATTTATTGTAAATTCTAAATACAAATTATAATATTTTTTATTTTCCATGCTTTTATGGAACATACTACTAACCTTAATATTAATAAAAAAACAGACTACTAACTAACCTCAGATAAAATTTTATCAAGATCCAGAGAGGTAACTTTCGGAGAAACAGTGCTTATTGTGCTTTCTGTTGTTGATATGGCAGCTGCTACAATGTCTTCTGTAGTAGTTCCAGTTGCTGGATAAAGCATGTAAATGAAAGTAAACTTCAGACTGAAGGGAATTAACTCCCTTGCATGTTTTCACTGACTTGTAGTTTTCACAAGATACTTGTTTTATCAGTGAAGTTGTTTTCGCTATTGCTTATGTTTCATATGAGCTTGAATTGTACATAGGCAGAGTGTACTTTTAGTATACATTCCTTAATACAACAAGAATTTGACTTTAGTTCTAAATTTAATATAAACCTTTGTCAGATTTGGGCACAAATTAGATTAAAAATTTATCTCCCAGTCTAGCAACCTTATTTACTTCACAGAAGACTAACTTCAAAGGATAACTGTCATAGTTCGGTCTACTTCTACCAGAGGGGCCATATAAATTCCGTTGAAATAAAAGAGTGATTATCTGGAGCAAAACACCTAAAATTTAAAAAGTTTCTCCACAATGAATTCAGATTGTCTCAAGCACAGTAGATTAACTAAAATTTTCTAGGTATTCAGGTACTGTGATTGTTACACATTTAAAGGTGGATTAATGGCCCACCAGGTGGTTAATAGGCTATATACTGTTAGTCAAATTTGTAAAAGTACTAGTATCAATTAATAATTGTGGCAAACAAAATTATACAACTAATATTATGTTTGTATATTTTAACTGTAAAACTAAACAATTTTTACCCGTTATAACCTGTACCATGGGCCTAATGTTAAGTCTGATTAGCATTCACTCGTAGTTGAAGCACTGATATACTTTCATATCACTAATGCAAATGTTTGGATTTTCAGAAAAAAGTTATTATCCACATACAAATGTATCTATATATATCCAAGTTACAAACAAAAATAAATCAAATATGCTTAAATCTGAGGAACTTCTTAATCTTACAAACAGAAATTTGTTGAAAGACAAACTAACAGAAGAAATCAAGTGCAGTTATAACATGCACTTGGACTTTTTTTTTCTTTTATTTTATTATATATATATATATATATATATATATGGCTACATTTTTTGGATAGATTTTGTTGTCTCATAAATCAAATAACTAACATTTGGATACAAATAAACAACTGTGATACATTCAGCTAACAGTTGTATGTATCATTAAGTCAGAATATGTTCATACTTAGAGAGAAATTAAGAAATGTTAAAAGAATGCTTTCTGTTACAGGTTCTTAGTACTTAAGACTAAAACCTGTAATATGGAGTTAAAGTTGCATTGTAAATTAAATACAATAAAGTGCTGATTAATAGTATTAATTGGGGATAAGGAAAATATTCAGATAATTGAAAATCTGGATAACCAGACATAATTAAAAGAAAAATGCTGAACATTATTGCTACAACTCTTTTAAGATAAATTTAAATAGATTTATAGGCCTAATATATATATAAATAGCCAAGTATAGGCACACAGAATAGTGTTTAAATTTATAAGAAAAAAGCCTGATATAGATTACTGTTTTAAAGAGGAAAACCTCTTTTTTTTTCTTCCAGCTACATCATGCAACAGTTTCAAACAAAGCAGCTGAACAGAATCACATCTTTCTAACTATTTTATTGAGGTATCTGGACACTTCAGAATGTGATGGCTCATCCTCATTCTCCTCTTCATTCTTCATAACTTCAACAACTTCCTTTTAACTTAGAACTTAACTTGATAGTCAGGGTAAAAAACATCACAGTTCATCCATTTTAATCAACAGTCAGAACATCCAGGAATTTCTTTTAATGCTACAACTGGCCTATTACATTTTCTTCTTAATCACCACCAGTAAACTCTTCAGATTTTTTTCAAGACTATTCCAAACCTCTCAGTGTTGTATTTTGCACAGAAGCCCAACAATCTGCTACCATGTAACAACATTCTTTCAGGTCAAGGCTTTTTAAAAAAAAACATAGAATATTTTATTCACCATTATCATCTGCCAATGAGAGTTGAAGAAGCTGTTTTCTGTACAGATGTTTCAATGTTTCTCTTACGCCCTGACTGAATAATAGAAGTGATTTTAGGCAAGAGGAGCACAAGTGTAAACATCCCAGAAGTTCTGTTGAAGGGTGGGATGGTACATTACCAAGGAGTAACGAGAGTTGACCTACTTTTTTTTCCAGTATTCAACTTTGAGAATAAATGACTTATCATACCATTAATAAAGGCAACAAATGACTGATTGTTTGTAGACAATATGCAGCATTTTAATATTTTTGAAGACCTTAGGTTTTTAGAAGCAAAAATAACCTGTGACTTCCACTCACACAAACCATTATCGTAACTCGTTCTATGCTAACTTCATAACCAGGAGCTTCACGATGGGATACTAGTGATATGTTAGAAAGTGACTTTCAATAAAAGCATATTTCATAAGTGTTGTATATGAAATCTGCATGAAAACCATCACTTTCAATAATGGTCTGAAGTTTCTTTACAAAAGCGTTTGCTGCATGTTTATCACCTGTCAAAATGTGTTTGCTGCATGTTTGATCACCTGTCAAAATGTGTTTGCTGCATGTTTGATCACCTGTTAATTTCTTTCCATTAATTCCATATTCATGTATGCTGTGTTGTGACTTAGTTTTTCAGCTACCCAGAGCATGTTTTATATTCTGGATCTCCATTCAATCATTTTTTTAAATCAAGGGCTTTTTCACACAGAAATGATCCTGAAATTGGCTGATCAGCTGATCTTTTTTGTAAAAATCACATTTACACTGAATTTTCTTTGTTTTTCAGCATTGAACTTTTATCCTCACTGTCTAATGTCTGAAACTGTTGATTTTCCAACACCGTATTTATCTGTTAAGCTCTCTCCAGATTTATTTTTTAAACCTATAAACATAAACTTTATCAGTTAATAAAATAGCTTTTCCATTTTGTGATAATTTCTTTGACAAATAAAAAATAAAGCACAGCACTTTCAATATATGGAGGTGAAACCAACACATAAACACATAAGTAATGCTAAGAGCAGACTGTGGTTGATTGTTAGATAAAAGTGTTCCAGCATGCCAGATGTAAAATTATTGTATTTTGTGAAGCTCTTATTTTATATTCTAGCTTGTCAATATTGGTAATTTGAGTTTCTAATTCGTTCGAAGCTATATACTTAGTATTTTGACAAACATCTAATTTGAATCAGTGCTGCATTCAACATACCACGTGACACACAAAAATGGAT